ATATGTTTGTTATTCAACTGAATGTAGATCAATGTTTGTTATTTAAATCTGAATGTAGATCAATGTTTGTTATTAAAACTGAATGTAGATCAATGTTTGTTATTAAAACTGAATGTAGATCAATGTTTGTTATTTAAACTGAATGTAGATCAATGTTTGTTATTAAAACTGAATGTAGATCAATGTTTGTTATTAAAACTGAATGTAGATCAATGTTTGTTATTTAAACTGAATGTAGATCGTGGTATGTTATTTAAACTGAATGTAGATCAATGTTTGTTATTAAAACTGAATGTAGATCAATGTTTGTTATTTAAACTGAATGTAAATCGTGGTTTGTTATTCAAACTAAATGTAGATCGTGGTTTGTTATTCAAACTGAATGTAGATTGTGGTTTATTATTAAAACTGAATGTATATTTTTGTTTGTTAAACAATCCGAATGTAGATCGTAGATCGTGGTTTGTTAGTAAAACCGAATGTAGATCGTGGTATGTTATTTAAACTGAATGTAGATCAATGTTTGTTATTCAAACTGAATGTAGATCAATGTTTGTTATTTAAACTGAATGTAGATCAATGTTTGTTATTCAAACTGAATGTAGATCAATGTTTGTTATTCAAACTGAATGTAGATCGTGGTTTGTTATTCAAACTGAATGTAGATCAATGTTTGTTATTCAAACTGAATGTAGATCAATGTTTGTTATTCAAACTGAATGTAGATCAATGTTTGTTATTTAAACTGAATGTAGATCAATGTTTGTTATTTAAACTGAATGTAGATCAAGGTTGTTTTTTTTAAACAATATGAATCTGATTTGTTCTTAAAGTTAAGACAATGGTTCATTAGCCGTACGGGTATTTTGAATAGAATTATAAACAAGATGTATAACATTAATTACTGAATGGCCATTAATATCGAACTTAATAACATTCTTAATGTAGAATTAAATATGTCCTTTTGTTTAGTGTTAGTTATGAGATTTGTAAAAAACGACAATGTGGAACCTTCAATCGATTCGTCTGACTGGGAATAATGGATTTGCACCATCAGTGACCTACTACTACTGGTTTGGGGTGCAACAAAATCCATATCGCAGACGTTGATTAACGATCGTCGTGTTCCATTCGTCTGATTAGTCAACCACTGAAATCGATTTTGAATTCAGCTTTATTATCCAATCATATTACTGTGATTTTAAAATTTCATCTTCCTGGAACCAGATTCCAGATTAATCACTGGGGATTCATTAAGAATTGTGATTTGTAAGCTAAGAATAACCCACATTTAATCAACCAAGTATTGTATGAAACAATCGGATTAAAATATATTAATCTTTAGAGACGAAATATATTATTGTTAACGTATAATCGTATCGAAATTTTATTACAATTTGGTTATATTTTCTCTGATAATTTCTCATACATTGTAATCTAATATTTTTTGTTCACCACAGTCACGTTTTAAAGACGCCACGTACTGGTCGTACTAGGTATTGTTACTCGGCCATTGGTAGTATCAGGTTATTGTTACTTGGCCACTGGTAGTATCAGGTTATTATTACTGGACCACTGGTAGTATCAGGTTATTATTACTGGACCACTGGTAGTATCAGGTTATTGTTACTGGACCACTGGTAGTACCAGGCTATAACTACTGGACCACTGGTAGAACCAGGTTATTGTTATTGGACTACTGGTAGTACCAGGTTATTGTTACTGGACCACTGGTAGTACCAGGATATTGTTACTGGACCACTGGTAGTATCAGGTTATTGCTACTGGACCATTGGTAGTACCAGGATATTGTTACTGGACCACTGGTAGTACCAGGATATTGTTAGTGGACCACTGGTAGTATCAGGTTATTGCTACTAGACCACTGGTAGTACCAGGATATTGTTAGTGGACCACTGGTAGTATCAGGTTATTGCTACTAGACCACTGGTAGTACCAGGATATTGTTACTGGACCACTGGTAGTAATATAAAAATATTTCAGGTCTTTAGACAATATTGTGTTTATCCTTTAATTAGTAACCGTGATAAATTCCAACTTTCATATTTTAAACAATAGCTATTGTTCTTCAACCTTTTCTAGTGCTTTCAACAAGACTCGGCTCAATACAGCTTTATCAAACATAAACTACTAGTACCGGTAATTAATATGTACATAACTGCTTAATGGTGGACTTTATAGTGGTCATTCATACCATAATCCTCAAAATATTAATTACAAAATAAGAGTGGGCCTAATAGCTGTTAAAGTTAGATGGGAATATTATTCTCATTAAAACACAGAAGCACATGAAGTAAGCGGAAAGCAAAACAGTGGTAACGATTCGAACCGCAAAACCAAACCCAAAATATGGTAGAAGTAATGAGGAAGTATGCATATCAATTTTTTAAAAATGATGAGGTATTTTATGATGAAAGGTGTCTAGAAGAGTAAGCATACCAAGCCTGGAACCACACCCGCCATTGCTGCTCAATAGTGCACACAAAAAGAAATCGGGGTTAAAGTCAGGCTTGAAAAGACTCAACGACGGGAAATAGTCGATAACAGACAACAGGCACCTGATTCAAAAATATAAAATTTATTCATCAGAAGAATACCAATAATTATTCTAGGGCCTATAGACTATATTGAAAGGTATAATTGTTTTGGAACCTTATTCACCAAAGAATTAACGTAGATAAAAACTAGATTTTAAGAAATACTGATCTTGATAGGCGCTGAATTTGTCACCAAAAACGAAATAATAATAAAAACCTCACAAATAGTGATATCTATTCGGCATTGGTAATTTAGTTGTTGTCTGGTTATTTACTTAGTGACTGGATGGTCTTGTCTTTAAATAGAGTTATTTCCCTTTGACCGCTGAAACTTTCGATTTAGAAATTTCTGTGGAATGAATCACAGCGTAAGTTTTTCTTTTAAAATAACATCTACTGAATGTTTATTATCGGCTTTTGTAAAGAAAAAATATTTTCGGAATATTTATTGATATGTGACAATATTTGGAGTAGGCCTGTTGGTCAACCAGTATCCACATTCCACAAACTAAACGCCATCGACGGAAATAAAGTTCATTTATCTCTTCTATGCAGGATTTGAGTAAAAGTTAAAAAAGTCAAATCAAATTTGAGAAGGACAGGGAAAATATAACTTCATAAGAGCTTTTCAATTTCAGGCTGTGATCTTCTTCTCTTCAATTGGTACCAATAAGTGTCAAAGATGGTAGTTAAATCTCTTCTGGTTTTAATCTGTTGCGTCTTGATACAGTCAGTTGTCTCAAATGTTCAGAATGTTTTAGTGATAGGGGGTGGAATGTCTGGCATAGCTGCTGCTCGAACCCTAACTAACGACAAACTAAATCGATATCGCGTTCAGATATTTGAAGCGAAACGGGATCGTTATGGTGGAAGAGTTTGGACAAAAAGAAATTTATCAGCAAATTCTAAAAGTATTCAAGCTGATTTGGGAGCCAGTTTTATCAATTCTAAAGTCAAAGACAATCCTTTGGAGGCATTAGCAGAAACATTTGAAATTGATTTGAATGTGTTAGGACCAAGTCAGTTTTTTACCAGTCATAATCAAAAACTTCATAAAGGGATTGATCTTGTGGAGGCTAAGAGAGCTGCCGAGGAATTAGTTTTAAAAGCAATTTCCACAGCTCAACAGAATGAGGAAGACATTTCTGTAAGAGAGGCAATACAGAGTGAAATTTCAAAACAGGAACTTCGCGAGGATAGCCTGGTAGTCCAAATTCTCCAGTCGCTTCCCTCTTACGCTATTCCAGATTCATCAGCCATTTTGTATGGACCTGATAGACTCGATTTTGGGTATAATAAATTCATAAAGTTTGGTTTAGCAGAAATGATTGACAGATTTGTTGCAGGAATTGAAGCCGAGGCACCGTTAGATATCAATCTGCGCCAAGTTGTGCGACAAATTGAACTTGTCAAAGAAAAGAATCAAGTAATAGTACGAGCAGGTGGAAGCCAAACACCAGCTGATGCAGTTATTATCGCAGTTCCACTTGCCATGTTAAAAAATGAATCACTTTTATTCGACCCAAAATTACCACACAGTTACTATAGACTGTTTAACAAACTGAATGTTATCCAATCAGAAAAGCTTATTTTGGAATTCGATGAAATGTTTTGGCCGAAGGATCTCGGAACATTTTCTATGACTCCAGGAAGCTCAGAAGATAAGGGTCTGTTTCATTCCTGGACCAACTTGTACCCTTTGACAGACAAGCCGTATTTATCTGCCAAAGTAGGACATAATGTTGTGGACAAATTTTTAGAAATGACCGATCAACAAGTAACAGAAATTGCCTTAGAAAGGCTTAAAAAAGTATTTGGTGAAGATGTAGTTCGTCATCGTAATGTAACAAATATCTTAAGATCTGATTGGTTAAAATCATTACATATAGGCGGAGCTACAATATATCCACCAATCGGAAGCACAGCTGATATGTGGGATGTGTTTTCAGAGCCATTATGTCCAGGACTGTATTTTGCTGGGGATTATACTGTATTAGATGGATTAGGGACTCTTCATGGAGCTTACACTTCGGGTGTGAGAGCAGCTGAGTCCCTGATGTCAGGATATTGTGAGAAAAAAGCTGCTGAAGAAGCCGAACGGAAGAGAAAAGAAGAAGAATTAAAGAAGAAAAAGGAAAATAAAACTAGTACTGGTAATGAAAGTGATAGTGAAATATTGGAAGAATCAAATACATCAGAACCAAAAGATGAATTATGAAATAATTGCTCTTTTTCCTTTTTAATTTGAGCAAATTAAAGAGATATTATCCTCAAAATGTTTGCGGTATCAGCTGAAAGACCTCAATTTTAACAATCTATATCACTTTGCAGTATTCAATGCACGATTTTCTTACAATTTTGGCCCAGCAAATACCGTATTTAGACTGTATGCTTTTAAGTTAGTAAACTGTGAAAATAATAGAATAGTATAAATGTTGTAAGGGAATGTTTGGATGAATTTTGATTTTTATTTGTTATTTTATATTTTTATTACATGTATTTCTTCATATTGTTACCTATATACCCGTATTTCACTTTCCATATTATTATTATTACATTTTGTTATCCATGTATGTGTATTTCACTTTAAAAGAGATGTGAATGACAGGCTGAAGCTTATTTAGTTAAGACTAAAAATGTCACAATCTAGGCATCATTTGCTTGCTTATGTCAAACGAATGACGGCCTTGATTAAATCAAAAACCTGTAAATGGGTTATGAAAATAAAATATGGGTGTTTGGAAGAAGATTTCCAAAAAATATAAGGGATAAGGGGCACTTAGCACGTACATCCTTCGGCCTTGATAATCATAATGTCTTTAAAAAAGATGGTTGTGAACCTTTCTATCATTGATATATATATATTATCATTCCATTTTTTTTTATCATTTTTATGTCTTTATTTTTTATACAAATTAATGAATGAAAAAAATAATCACAAAAATCAACAATATTTACATTTTCTGCATATTATTTGCTTGGCATCCAAAACACCCCTTATTTTTCATATGTGCTCTTCCACTCATACACTAACAGTTTCATATTAATTGAATGTGTGCATGCGTGGAAGAGTTCAATACAAAAATAAGGGAGTATTGCCCTTGACTGTCAAGCTCCTATCTGGGTTTGTCATACTGTCTATTCAAAATAGCATTTAATTTCAAATATTCTAAAATTCTGCAGCTAGATTGATTGAAATGTGTCCAAGCACTAACTAAGATTAGTCATACATGCATGGCAAATACAGACTAATACTGTCCTTAGTTCTCACAACAGAGACCATTATCATAATCCCTTTTTTTTCATTTTCTCATCAACTTGTTGTAATAATTCTTCTTTACTGGCTGTAAAATTACTCTCTTTCCAAAATTGGCGCAGATCTCCAAGCATTTCTGCAAATATTGGTCCTTTGGGTATTCCACGCTGAACCAAATCATGGCCCTTCACTGGTAGAACAGGGGGAGACCACTCCGAAAATTCTTTCAATAATTGTTTATTTCCCTTGTATTTGATAAGTTCACACAAACGTTCTTTTAGTTTTGTATCTTTTCCTGGAGAATCTACTAAGACATTTCCAAAGTATTTCATTGGATTTTCACCAAAGTCATCGTCACGTAATTTTACAATCAGCAACGATAATTTTAATTCCTCATTGGAGATTTTTAAACTCTTCATAAATTCATACACCTGAAAAAAACGTTCCAAATTATTTTCAGCATTATATCAAATTTAATTTCAATATTATACACACAAATATACAATATTCGTGACCTAGGCCAGTGCTTTTATGAGACTCTGTTCTCATCACCATCTAACACAATGATATTTGTTATGTGGACTCTGCAAAAGGGATGCGAAAATGCAGAGATGCATTGTCTTGCCATCCTCTCAGTACCTATTGTTGAACCCAGTTGCTCCACGTCAGTGATGCAGGTCGGAGGGGATACAGGCAATTCCATATGAACTAAAAGATACTTACATTCTGCTCTTCATTAAATAAAGCAGACATTCTAGTCATAGGCAGGGGACTTAACTCTTCTGTTGATGCACACACTTTCTTAAATTCTTCAATATTACTATTTTCTGGCAAACCTGAATTGAATCATATTTCTTAAAAAAATTGCCGCTATTTTCAAAAGTCCACATCTGTTAAAGGGCTCCAAAGTTAAACATTACTGAATGATAATGGACCTTATAAAGGCAACTTCTGCATATATATATTGTAGTTTTCAACTCTCAGACAATGCCCATGAACAATTCTAGTTAGTTCTACTTGAGTAATTTGTTACTTTTCTGATCCATTTAAGTCTAAACAAGCTTTCATGATAAGGATTTGTATCAGCTTAAATTAAGCTCGCATTGAAAGAAAACCTCAATTTATAAAAATAAAACGACTAAGATCCACACAGAGATCTTTTCTATCAGCTGGTCCTTGACCAAACCTTTTGGCAACAATCTTTCCCAGATTATCAGTACCCACTTACAGTTAGGTCTAGATCAAGAAAATTCGAACTTACCGATATACTGTGACATTCCTAGAGAGATCATAGTATCTACAATATGTCCAGCATAATTACCACAAACTATTTTCTTTAATTCCATCCAAATTCTCTCTGCAGATATACCTACAATTAATCAACATGTTCTTAAATTCTCTCTGAAGATATACCTACAATTAATCAACATGTTCTTAAATTCTCTCTGCAGATATACCTACAATTAATCAACATGTTCTTAAATTCTCTCTGAAGATATACCTACAATTAATCAACATGTTCTCAAATTCTCTCTGCAGATATATCTACAATTAATCAACATGTTCTTAAATTCTCTCTGAAGATATACCTACAATTAATCAACATGTTCTTAAATTCTCTCTGAAGATATACCTACAATTAATCAACATTTTCTTAAATTCTCTCTGCAGATATACATACAATTAATCAACATTTTCTTAAATTCTCTCTGCAGATATACCTACAATTAATCAACATGTTCTTAAATTCTCTCTGCAGATATACCAACAATTAATCAACATTTTCTTAAATTCTCTCTGCAGATATACCTACAATTAATCAACATTTTCTTAAATTCTCTCTGCAGATATACCTACAATTAATCAACATGTTCTTAAATTCTCTCTGCACATATACCTACAATTAATCAACATGTTCTCAAATTCTCTCTGCAGATATATCTACAATTAATCAACATGTTCTTAAATTCTCTCTGCAGATATACCTACAATTAATCAACATGTTCTTAAATTCTCTCGGCAGATATACCTACAATTAATCAACATGTTCTTAAATTCTCTCTGCAGATATACCTACAATTAATCAACATGTTCTCAAATTCTCTCTGAAGATATACCTACAATTAATAACATGTTCTTAAATTCTCTCTGAAGATATACCTACAATTAATCAACATTTTCTTAAATTCTCTCTGAAGATATACCTACAATTAATCAACATGTTCTCAAATTCTCTCTGAAGATATACCTACAATTAATCAACATTTTCTTAAATTCTCTCTGAAGATATACCTACAATTAATCAACATGTTCTTATATTCTCTCTGCAGATATACATACAATTAATCAACATGTTCTTATATTCTCTCGGCAGATATACCTACAATTAATCAACATGTTCTTAAATTCTCTCTGAAGATATACCTACAATTAATCAACATTTTCTTAAATTCTCTCTGCAGATATACCTACAATTAATCAACATGTTCTCAAATTCTCTCTGAAGATATACCTACAATTAATCAACATTTTCTCAAATTCTCTCTGAAGATATATCTACAATTAATCAACATGTTTTTAAATTCTCTCTGCAGATATACCTACAATTAATCAACATGTTCTTATATTCTCTCTGAAGATATACCTACAATTAAACAACATGTTCTTAAATTCTCTCTGAAGATATATCTACAATTAATCAACATGTTCTTAAATTTCCTTTCAATAGTCTCATTTCAAAAATAACAATATATTTCTCTAGTTGATCCAAAAATCAAGGACTTCATTAAAAGTTTCATATACTTCCTCATGTGTAAAGTTAATTTGCAGCTTACTAATGTTTTGCCAATATGTTGTTTGTGATTTCGGGTTTCGTTTAGCAGTTCAGATCGTTAGTACTTGGTTTATTTATTTATATAATGGTCAGGACCATTTCACAAATCCATGAAAATAAAAAAACTTCTGAAGTTAGGTGCACACCAAACCATCAGCTTAGGAAGATTCAATCCATTTCCAATTTTCCTTTAAGTAATAGATTCCATATGCAGGTAAATTTAAGTTAGGCTTTGGTCAAAGTTAAAAATCAAAGGCATTTGTCACAAATATACAAATACTTGTGACTGCAGTAATGAAATTATTTGCTGTTAGAGGTAAATTTACATGTATAACTCTGAACGAACTCTGATCAGTTTAAGTTTTTAAGCCTTTGAATCCTAGGGGCCCGTTTACCGACCAAACATTAACGCAATATATACCCGAGCAGCCGGTACACTGGCCGTTCCTAAGTGACGTCATACAACGTTAACGTCATACGCCTTTACTTTTATTACTTGGAGTTCAGGGTATATGAGGTTATAATTCATTTACACTCTGGGTTCAAAGGGTTAACAGGAGAAATTAACTCCTATTAACTTACGTCTCAATCCATCCATATTTCTTTTAATAGAATCTAAAGTAATTTTGTCATGATTATAAGGTTCCTTTGCTATTCTCCCATAAAACCTGAAATTTAAAGATAAAATACACAGTCAATTTCTATAACGAAAAATATACTTACACACAGACAAATAAAACAAAACAAATGTCATAACAAAAGAATGGACGAAGGGGAAGGCATAACGGCCTGTCCAATGTAAAGTCCTAAATCTACATGATGCCATCTTGACCCCTGAAAGGTCAACAGATCATTAACTATTAATTAAATAATTGATAAACTTTCATCATTATGATCCTTATTTCCCAACATGAGGCTTAAAATTCACTATATATATTACGAATGCTAAAGCATACCTAAAATATCTTAAAATTCTCAAATAATCTTCTTGAATTCTTTCTTCAGCATTTCCCACAAACGTCACCTTTCTCTGGGCTAAATCTCTTTTACCATTAAAATAATCATATATAGTTCCATCAAAACCTAGAGTGGTGAACAATGAAGTTTTTAGTAAGTCATTAAACCTAGATTACCAAAATATGATGTCTGTAGTAAATCATTAATTATTCATACAGAGTTCCATCAAAACCTAGAGTAGTCAAAAATGATGTCTGTAGTAAATCATTTAAAAGTCCATCATAACCAGCGTTTTCCCTCATATACCTCAAAGCCTGTTACTTCCAAACTTCTTTCACAGCTAACATGCCAATCTCCTGTCTGGCATGATTTAATTTCCAGGAGCATAGTAATAATTATATAAAGCCTGAAAATTACAATTGGAAATGTTTTCACCAAAACTCTATTTAACTCCTCTACAGAATAATATAATTTCATAACAAAAAACATTGTACTATGTGTATATAGAAATCCAATTAATTGAAGCAAAGGGAAGCAACTCACCTAGAAACATGGCATTAATGGTGAGATCTCGTCTATTAGCATCAAGTTTCCAATCTCTAGTAAATTCTACCTCAGCGTGACGTCCATCTGTTACTACATCAATACGTAATGTAGTCACTTCAAAATTCTCCTGAAAAATATAAAAATTGTATTTTTTTTTTTCTAGCTTGCAGGGGTTTATTGAGGGAGAGTGCATTATCTACAGGTAATGTGCTTAACCACTTCAGTTACCAAGCTATTCAGTATTGTGTTTTTGTCTTCTTAACACTTTCCAATTACATTTTGAACATTTTTGAGCAAATAAATTTGTCAACATTAATTGAAATGCTTTATCAAACACAGATGATATAAAATAATTCTACACTGAAAAAACCTTTCTCTGAATCTATGAAGGGTCCATTTCATTCAGTCTTTTGAAAAACCAGACAATGTATTATATTCTGATAAGATATGAATATTCAAGTAACAGAAATAGTCAAACCTTCTCATTTATCCTTGCTGTTATAGTTCCATGTTTTTCACCTTTATTGTTGATCATTCGAATTTCTTCCTTCTCAAACATTTCTTTCATCTGATCAGGGGTGGCTGTCGTAGCAAAATCTATATCAGCTGGTTCTTTACCCATCATTAAATCTCGCACAGCCCCACCTAATTCAAAGTCAAATCAATCAAGCTTTTCTTTTCACCAATTTGCATCTTGTATAATAATGGACACAATATTGAAGCTAGTTTTGAGGTTTAAGCATAACCCGACAAGCAAACAACCAAAAGTAATATCAAATTTGTTAACATACGTTGAAGTTCATAATTCTTTGAATCAAGAGCACTTTGTATCTTAGTTTTTAAAAATTTCAATGCCCCTGTTTCCTTCAACTTACCTGCTATCCTTAACTCAAATCCATGTTTATCAAACAAATCTATCAACTTCTTCAACTCTGGCGTGAAAATCTTACGGTATTCTGGAGAGTCGAACTGCATGGTTTTTAAATTTCCTAAATATTGATGGCCTCGTTGTGAGAAATATCTACATGTTTTCGGCACAGGTTTAACGGAATGAACTACTTTTTTAAATATCTGGAAAACTTGGCGCTGAAACATTTAAATGATACTGAAAGTAGAAAGAGGAAGATGAAAAAGATACAATGACGTGTAATGTTGTAGGCCTGTTTGCAAAGTAAAAAGTATTTAAAATCAGATCTTTCACAGACAGTAAAACAATGATGTAAGTTTACAAATTCCACATGGTAGCCATTAATAAAACAACTAAAAATACAGTTATATATCCATATTTCCAAAAACCTTTTCACGTTGCTAGGGGCCTACTATACAAAATCAAACCACAATATTATTTCCTGAATCACATTTTGCTAATCATTTTTACACAGATTGAAACATCAACTAGAATTTTGGTGCTTGATGAGATTTCCAATTTAAAATGAAATGATTATTTATAGATCTGAATCCACAACAAAATTAAATTCTCCCGGTGTCACTAATACCATATACCAGGCGCTGCAACGTATACAGATATGATACAAGGAAGAGATCAATATCAGAGCAAAAGTCCTCATTTTACTGCGCCTTGGCACAGCTGAATAATTTAAAATTAGAAAGAATACCTTCGGGTTTAGTTATTTTCTAAATCTTATTGGTGCATCGCTTTTATAACGCGTGATTTCCCTGTATTTCGTGTGATATTGTCATTAAATTACATCAACAATCTGAAATCATGAGTGCTGACATGTTTGAAAGGGAATTAACTCTTAATTAGACGCAGACAACACTAAATTCTTCCCATACCTACATTCAATGACGTCACTGACCTCCCTATTAACCTGTTACCCCATTGACCTAAATCAGAGGTCAAAGTTAATAGACTAAAGTTGAAGGTTGCTCATTCTGGAATTTTCTTACCTTTGACCTATTTCTATAAATAGTAATTCTGGTGACCTAGTTACTATATTTAGTAACAAAATAGTCTGGACGATATTTCTACGTGACGTCACCACCAACAGTTCAGTGCGTGAAAAGACGTCAGAAGGAAAACATTGTTATCTTTGGAAAGCCATTTTCCTCCGTCCCAAGCTGGAGAAATGGTGGATGGCTGCAGAACCGTATGCCTCAGACATTATAGAATGAAACGGAAGAAGAAATACAAGATGTCAGCTCATGAAAATGGAGAAATATCCAAATTAAAAGCTAACAGTGCATTTTGGACTACGTGACGAAGGGCAGATAATTTTCGAGCTTTGTTGTCGAATCTTCCAGTCTTTTCCGAGGTAAACAAACGAATTACAAATTTTGTTATAAATAAGCCGGCGATTTACAAATTCAGCAGAATGACATTAAGAAGTGAGGAATGGTTGTGGATTTTTCTGCAATTCAATTTTGATATTTGGATATTGGAATATACTGTCATTGAGTGTAAATCAACTGTCAGTAAAATATATTTGTATTTTGCATCGTTAGCTGTCATAGTGGATTATTCATAAAATCATGAATGGGATTATTTGAACTGACTTGCTAAAGGATTTACTACAGACCTCAATTAAACAGGTAAGCTTAATATTTTTGCATTTTTTTTCAGGATACTTTGAATATTGATAGCCTTTGTCAAATGACAGTATGTATTAACAAATTGCATGATTAGTCTATAAATTTTGTAATAGCATGACTGCAAGCAATTTTAATACGTTATAGATTTTCAGTTTATTAGGTGCCCTGTTAATAATATATGTAAAATATAAAAAGTTCAGGTATAGTCATTACATACAATGTATCTTTTATTTTCAATTATATGAAAATTTGATATTATTACATTGTTTGTAGTCGTATTGGGGCCAGAGGGGTTGCTATATCATTATGCTATTTGCCCCCTTAACAACTTTGGTGACCCCCATTGGGACTTTCCATCTAATGATTCATTTTATTGCCACAATGTTTGACAAGTTGTTTGGGCTGCCAAACAGTACTTAGACAGTACTGCATATTTTACTTTGTATACTGAATAATTTTTAATATATTTGCATAGCATGATGCCTCTTATGAGCACAGGCTTAATACTTGGTATATATATATATATATAATTGTTGCCTCTTATTTTAGCCTTCAAATCCATTTGTGTCCAGAATTATCTACGTTTGAATGTTGAAATGACGACTCGTCATTTTAAGATACCGGTACTATGTGTTTTTTAGAAAAGAGATTTATAACAATAGAGAGTAAAATTCCTAGTTTGAAGTATTTTTAAAGGAATTATGCGAATTTCTTACATTTCTAGTACTTCTGAAGACTATATACATATGTTCAAGACTCAAATCAACCTCTTAAATATTGCAAGTGTCCCTTTAACATATAGATCAACACAACTGCACGTCATATGTCTTTTTCTTACGTGTCACTTACCAATGGCTTTTTCATTAGCCACTCATGAATATAAATTATGTGACCTGGAGAACCTCCTCTGACAGTGAAGGGTTAAAATTAACTCAGCCAATGCTTATCAGGAATGTTTTTAATTTTTAATAAGGTACAATTTTTATAATGCCCTAGCCAAACTCTTATAATAAATGATGATGACATTAACTGAATAATTGCATGACATTGCACAAATAAGGTCAAGGCTGTTTACGTATTAATAACAGAACAACAGGTGGAGAAAAAATGCTATTAATATCGTAGACATCAACATACTGCATTACAAACAGATAAAACAAAAACTCTATATATAATGATCTTCATTTATTTAACCAAAAGCGTGTAGTAGAGTGGGTTTAGGCACTGAAGAATGGTCATGCCCTTGTCTGGACAGCTATCTTTTTTCTCAAATATTATAAAATTACCTTTGGCATTTCTTTCTTGAAAAATACTGTCTAGCAATCATTGGCTATGATAATTTTTTATCTTGAAAAAGTGAAAAAGATCAAACTTGGAGTAATAGTAATAATGATACATTGATAATAAAGAAACCATATAGGTTCATGAAAGTCATTTCTACCAACTGGTACTTGGTCAAACCTTGTGGCATTGGTCTTTCAATTTTTCAAAGATAATCCATATCTATTTACAGCTGGATCACCAGAAATTCCCACATCAAGATTATAACGCCTGACCACCATTTTTCTAATGTAACCAAGCAATTGAAATGACTTAATGAAACATATTCCGATTCTCTAACATCCAGTCCAATAATTGTAGGAGGTCAAATTTCAATCCCCCCAATTAGCTAGTTCTTTCCCTTTAAACCTAGTTAATTGGCAAAATCATTAAAATGATAAAAATAGCTACCACTCCTATTTTATTTTAGAAATATTAATTGAATAAAAATCTGTACAAGCAAAACAATTCGATCAATCAAAAATCTCATCCAAAAAATGACAAAATCAGGTGTAAAAGTTGTATAGTATTGGACTCTCCAAAGAGAAGTACCATTAGGTGATTCGAAAACACATTAAAACATGTCGCTCTACAATTGATGTATTGAGCACTATTTTAACAGTGGTATTTCTATATCGCTCTACAATTGATGTATTGAGCACTATTTTAACAGTGGTATTTCTATATCACTCTACAATTGATGTATTGAGCACTATTTTAACAGTGGTATTTCTATATCGCTCTACAATTGATGTATTGAGCACTATTTTAACAGTGGTATTTCTATGTCACTCTACTATTGATGTATTGAGCACTATTTTAACAGTGGTATTTCTATATCGCTCTACAATTGATGTATTGAGCACTATTTTAACAGTGGTATTTCTATATCGCTCTACAATTGATGTATCAAGCACTATTTTAACAGTGGTATTTCTATATCGCTCTACAATTGATGTATTGAGCACTATTTTAACAGTGGTATTTCTATATCGCTCTACAATTGATGTATTGAGCACTATTTTAACAGTGGTATTTCTATATCACTCTACAATTGATGAATTGAGCACTATTTTAACAGTGGTATTTCTATGTCACTCTACTATTGATATATTGAGCACTATTTTAACAGTGGTATTTCTATATCGCTCTACAATTGATGTATTGAGCACTATTTTAACAGTGGTATTTCTCTGTCACTCTACAATTGATGTATCAAGCACTATTTTAACAGTGGTATTTCTATATCACTCTACAATTGATGTATTGAGCACTATTTTAACAGTGGTATTTCTATATCACTCTACAAATGATGTATTGAGCACTATTTTAACAGTGGTATTTCTATAGCTCTACAATTGATGTATTGAGCACTATTTTTACAGTGGTATTTCTATATCGCTCTACAATTGATGTATTGAGCACTATTTTAACAGTGGCATTTCTATATCACTCTACAATTGATGTATTGAGCACTATTTTAACAGTGAATATATTATATTATTGAATTACATTTAAAGTAATGATGCAATCACTGTAGTAAATACATGAGGGACTGGTGATTGATGGAACTAAAGTAGACTACTATCATCATTAGTTAATGCTCTAATAAAGTCATTGAATTCCATACAGAGATAACGGATGAGAATAGACCAGACTTATGGAGCTGATTGACAGTCGTAACTAATTGATGGGCCTACGTGCTCTAAGTATTGTAATCATTGTGTAAAATCAAATTGACATAAACATAGTCAAAAAATTGATATAATAGAAATAACTCTATAATTGACATGTGCTTAGTCAATTATATTATAATACAAATAGCTTTATTTTAGGTATTTTCAATGTTTAAATGGGATGACATGCTAGTCAAATTATCAACTTCATAATAAGAGCTTATCTTATCTTGCCAACACATGTTTCAGATATACAATCCTCATCAGGATAGTTCATTCTAAAACTGAAGGTTATATAGGAATTTATTACATTAAGACAAAACTTTAATATACAGGTAATAGAAATAATTTTATCACACTTTAGCCTCAGAAACGGTAATTTTTCAGCTAAGCCAATCAGTAATAGTGTTTACAGACGACTCTTCATTTTAAGAT